ATTTTTTATATTGCAATTTAATTTTACATTTTTAATCATTTTGTTGTGTTTGTCATTTTTAGTAGTTTTAATTTTTTTATGTTTAAATAAAAAGAACTATATAGACATTTTAAAAAGCCATAACTAATAAAATGACAAAAGCACAACACAATTACTAAAACTAATTCAAATCAAAATGAAAATGGAAAAAATATTAGTGATGTCAAATGATTAATCGTGATTAATCGCATACAAAAGAAACATTTTTGTTTACATAATATATGTGTACTGTTTGACTGTGTATATTTATTATGTATATATGTGTGTATATATAAAGTAATATACACTGTGTGTGTATTTTATTTTATTATATTTTATTATTATATAGTTAATGAATGTTTTAACAGTTTTTAATTTTATATTATATTTTTATTTTTATATTTTATTTTATATTAGTTATTTTAGTACATCAAGTAACAGTATATGTGTGTGTGTGTGTGTATCAATAAAACTAATATAACTGTTGAATTGTAAGCTGTGTTTCAAACATAATGTGCCTACCTATCTAGACAGCATTTTTGGACAGCATTTTGTGCAGTTTTGCACTTTTCAAATCCACATAACGTGCCCAGAAATGCTGTCTGTGTACAATGCCAAACAATATAAAGCTGAATGTAGAAGAATAATTTTCTCCTTTTTCATAATCGTACACCACATTAACCTCTCAGCAGCATTTTGTCAGATACTTATTTTCTAGATGAGTTTGATTTTATGGGGATCATAAAAAATCTGCATGCTCTGGGGCCCGTCTGATGCTTTAACAGCTGTATATTACTGATCTGCAGGTCTGTGGCCAACGATCGCTTCAGTGTGTGGAAGCTGGGCATCACTCGTGTCCTGAACGCCGCTCACGGGAAGATGCACTGCCAGGGCAGCCACCAGTTTTACGGCTCAACAGTCGAGTATTACGGCGTCCCCGCTGACGATTCACCATCGTTTAACTTGTCGGTTTATTTTCACCCCTGCGCTGATTATATAAAGGAGGTTCTCAGTTCTCCAGGAGGTAAAACTGTCTCAGCTTGGGTTTACACAATTAAAAATAAAGGTGCTTCACAATGCCATAGAAGAACCTTTTTTTGTCTAAATGGTTCCAGAAAGAACCTTTAACATCTGAAGAACCTTTCTGTCTTACAAAAGCTTCTTTGTGGCGAAAGAAGGTTCTACAGATTATACAAAGGTAAGAAAGAGATGGTTCTTTAAAGAACCTTTGACTGCGACTTACAAATGAGCAATCAAAATCAATAAAAGAGCAGTGATATGCAAGTGCTATAACAAGTCTCAGTTAACTTTAAATAAATAAAAAGCAAACAGACAGAATAGAAACAGAATAGAGCAAGATAGTGTTAGAGGCCTTTTTTGCTTTTGTTAATTGAATAATAACTAAAAAGAAAACAAATAGATAGAATACAAAAATATTAGAGAAGCTAGTGTTATTTTTTTTTTTAAGAATAGAATTAGAATAGAGAGTGCTAGAGTTAAATAAAGACGGAAGAGATGTGTTTTTAGCCGATTCTTGAAAAGAAATTGAAAAATCTAAGTTGAAAATGTAGGCCTGCAAACTATAAATATTATTCTGTTCGACAAGCTTGAATCCTCAAATCCAAGCCGAGATGGTCAGATTTCATGTTTGAGGGCTATAGAGATATAACATGTCCTTCTGTTGTTGTCTGCAGAGCGTGTTCTGGTTCACTGCGCGGTCGGTGTGAGTCGCTCGGCGTCTCTGGTTCTGGCTTATCTCATGATACACCAGCATCTTTCTCTGCTGGAGGCTATTAAAGCGGTCAAACAGCACCGCTGGATCTTCCCAAACCGAGGCTTTCTCAAACAGCTGCGGGCTCTAGATGCGACTCTACGCTGATCTGAATGCTGCATATAAACACCAACAACATTCCAGCAGCACCAGCCGGTGTCAGACTGTCTTCAGAAGAGGACTAAAGTACATGTTACACTCTTAAAAATAAAGGTTCCTAAAAGGGTTATCGCAGAAATGCCGTAGAAGATGCATTTTGGGGTCCCCAAAGAACCTTTCAGCGAGCAGTTCTTAATACAACCGTTGTTAGTGTGAATAGAACCTAAAGAACATTTTTCCACTATAAAGAACCTTTTGTTCAATTGAAATGTTCCATGGATGTGAAAGGTTCTTTATGGCACCATCAACACCAATAAAGAACCTTTGTTTTTAAGAGTGCAAGATTAGTAGTCAAATGTAATTAATTACTTAAGATTTATTATATATTTAAAAGTAAAAAAGTAAAAGTCTCCATTATTATTATTATTATTATTATCATATATATTTTTTTGTTATTATCATTAAAGCATTTTTTTCTTTTTTATTTAGTTGGGTGTTTTGTTATATTTGCCCACAGCCAGATTGATTGATTTGTTTATTTATTAATTAATTTATTTATCGTGGCTTTAATCAAACTCTTTAGAATATTTCAAAATGTCACTATAATCAAAAAATAATAATAATAAAAGTTCTGTAGATAAAAAGTTTATATAGATAAATAAATAAATAAATTATATATATATATATATATATTTTTTTTTTTTTCACTGGCATGACCAAATGTTTATAATAATATTTCGTAATTTCACTCAATAATTCATCCATTAAAGAAAATTTGGTCATTATTTACTCCGTCATATTTACCTTATGTCGTTACAAAACTGTGTAAATGAAATTTATGTTTGGCTGTTTTGTTATATTTACCCACAGATATTTATTTATTTATTTGTTCGCTCATTTTTATTTATTTATGCATTTATTTATTTGTTTGTTTTTTGTTTGTTCATACACTCCGTTTTTAAATCTGGCATTACCAACATTTTAGAATAATATTTCTAATATTTAAAAAAAAATCACTCAATAATAATTCGCCCAAAAAAAGAAAATTCTGTCATTATTTACTCACCCTCATATCGTTACAAGTAATTTTTCTTCATATATTTTTTTTTTTAGTTTTGTACATTTGGATGTTTTGTTATATTTGCTCACAGATAATTATTCATTCATTTTTTTACTGGCATTACCAAAATGTTTAGAATAATATTTCTTATATTTCAAAATTTACTCACCCTCACGTCGTTCCACACCTATGTGCTGTTATTTTATCTGTGAAAAACAACAGGATATTTTTTTAATATCTTAATTTCTGTATGCATAGAGTTTATAATGTCTGATAATCTACAAAAAGCAGAGCTGCATGATTTACAATGCATCAGTTTCTGAATCTGAATGAAAAAGTGAAAAAGATTTCCGAAGATTATCAGTGAATAGTGACTTCAATTTTGTATGCCTTTTTGGAGTTTGACAGATGTTCTCATTATAAACTATGAAGGAGGGTATCCAGATCAGATCTGTCTGTTTGCAGTGGATTTGTGGAGCGTGTGAGTGTGTCTCCGTGAGTAAGACTATCTGCTCACTGAAGCACTAAACTGGGTAACAGCTGTTGTGTGGGATCATTATAAACACGCTCTCTTCATCTATTTGGTGGGTAATTCAGGAAAGAAGCGATGGCCTGTAAATATAGCAGGAAAGAGTATCTGTCAGTCAAGGACCTGGAGAAAGTTTTGGACTCGTGTAAGTTAAACTTGCACCAAATCGATGAGGTCTGGCCAAACCTCTACATCGGGAACGTGTGAGTACGAGCTGCTCGAGACTTCACAACACTGATCTACATATTGAGATCAACAGACAACTCTAAACTATACGTTCACAACACATTTGACTTCCATAAACTGATGCATTTCTGAGATAAAATAAGGCAGGACTTTTATCCGTCATTTTATTCTTTTGGGACAATATTTTAGGACATTTTATCCATCAGAAATTGATTGGATGGTGAAAGTTATACTAGAAAAAGGGTTATTACAGTTAAATAAAACTAAAACCATAAACAAAATGTATTACTTGAAAAAAGCTTGAAATATCATTATATATTTTTTTATTTTGTTTTTAATGTACTTTTTTATATATAAAAAATATGATTATGAATAATTATTTTATTTCAGCAAGTTGCCTAGGCAGTATTTCTCATTTTCATGTAGTTTAACTTGAAGTACTTAAAAAACAAAACTAAATAAAAGTAAAACTAATAAAAACTATATAGACATATTTAAAAAATGATCATAAAAAATACAAAAACTAAAATGTACTAAAAAAACAAAACAAATGATTAATACAAAAAAGAATAAACTAAAATTAAATGTTATTTATGATCTATCAATGATACTAAAATAACTCTTTGACTGGAACAGAGGTGAAATTTGGTTGAACTCTTAAAAGTAAGAAAGTAAACCAGGCCCATTTTGATATTGATATGTGACCATAGAGGTCATTTCTAACCATCTTCTATATTATTTTTCCCGTCAGAGGAATAGCACAGAACCGAAGCGGCCTGCAGAAACTTGGCATCACTCACATTCTGAACGCCGCTCACACCAAGAGAGGAAGCATCGGGGACCAGAACTACTACGGCACTAGTTTTGTGTACTGCGGGATCCCCGCTGACGACTCCACACACTTCGATTTGGACGTTTACTTCAAACCGGCAGCAGAATTCATTCACAAAGCTCTCAACACTCCTGACGGTAAGAAATGGCTGAAGAATTCACTCTCAGAAGAAAAATAGCTTGTGCACTACAGTCTTGACCCGAATTACTTTCTAAACATGCTCCTGGACCTACTGTGTGTGATTAATCAGTGCATGTTATTCAAAATAAAAAGTCTTCATAATCTTCCATAAAAATGTAATTGCACCGCTTCTGTGAAGACTTTTATTGTCGGGTGACGTCATGTAGGTTATATGTGATAACCAGTAGCCAAATGGTGATTTAGGCATTTAGGCTGAATCTGTAGCTGATGCAGCCTGTCAAAAATCTTCATAAATTCGACTATCATATCAAATAAATATATATAAAAATATTTATTTATTTATATTTTTTTATTTATTTTTGGATACATGGAGATGCTCTGGAGAGTGAAATAATCCTTCAGTTTCTACATTCAGGTCAAAAAATGTGTAACAGCAGAAAATCAAGTCTTGTCCTACAGTTTGTCAGCGTTGAATGTCCAGTTTCACTTGCAATACATTTTGCAATTTTTTAAATTTATTTTGCAAATACTATTTTATTAAGTATTTTTTGTCTTGATTCTAGTAAAAATATCAAGACATATTCATTCAAGAAAATGTGCACTTTACATGTGCACACACACTTCCATTAAAAATGGAAAAAATCATTAAAAATCTATCTGTTCATCAAAGATGCATTAAATTAATGAAAAGTGACAGTAAAGACATTTATAATGTTACAATAGATTTCTATTTCAAATAAATGCTGTTCTTTTGAACTTTCTATTAGTCTGTGAATCCTGAAAAATCAAATGTATCTCAGTTTCCACAAAAATATTGTGCAGCACAACTGTTTTCAACATTGATAATAATCAGAAATGTTTCTTGAGCAGCAAATCAGCATATTAGAATGATTTCTGAAGATCATGTGACACTGAAGACTGGAGTAATGATGCTGAAAATACAGCTGCGCATCACAGAAATAAATTACATTTTAACAGGCATTCACATAGAAAACAGCTATTTTAAATTATAATAATATTTCACAATTTTACTATATTTTTTATCAAATAAATGCAGCCTTGGTGAGCAGAAGAGACTTTAAAAAACAATAAAAATCTTATTGACCATATATATATATATATATATATATATATATATATATATATATATATATATATATATATATATATATATATATATATATATATATATATATACACTGTGTGTGTGTGTGTGTGTGTATACTGTATATATACATATACTGTATATACATAATTAAATAAACTATTTATATATTTAGCAAAGCAAATGAAGTCCCTTGTGTTGAGGGTGAAGTGTTGACTTTGAGAGCTGATGTATTTTTATCTTGCCGCTGTGGGAATGAGCTTGTCTAATTTGAGACTCTGTTACTCGGACACAGACGAGGGCGACTGCAGCGTGTGGAAATGAGCAGAATCGTCTCTCTGTCTGGATTGGGTTATAATCAGTGTGATATTACTGAGGATCTTCTCACCAGATGATCTTATATGGTTTCTTCTGTGGTGCTTCCTGATCAGGATCCTGAAGAAAGAGTGTTTAGAGCCGCATGAATCAGATTATAAATATAAATAGATAAAGTCATCAGCGTGAACAACACGTCATACACACACGCATGCACACACACTGACGAGCTGTTCCTCAACACACCGTGAGTCTGTTTGTGCTTGAAAATATATTTTAGATTTATTCAGATAGATTAATTATATGTATTGGTTATATTGAGGTTTACTGAATAATATTTGAATTGCAATGTGTAAAACTGTTATTTGATCACATGCATGCTCGACTGAGACTTAATAATGGTACTTTAACGACAAGAAAATGAACAGGATATTCATAAAGAGATAAAGTTAGTCATTGCTCATTGATGGATTCACTATTAGCTTACATGAAGGCGTCAACTTGAAAATAAGTTTAATATTTTAAACCAAATGTTTGATGTTAAAGTTGTTTGTATCATTTTATTAGATTTTTTATTATTAAGGTGTGGCAAACCAAATAATACCACAACACATAGAATTAATCTAATCCATTGGTAATACTTTGTTTTGCAAAGTGTTATTTTAGTATCATTAAGACACTATTGTAGTTTTTCTTAATATTTTTAATTAGTTTTTAAAGTTTTTTATAAATATGTCTACATAAATTTTATTAATTGTTATTTCAATTTTAGTTGTAGTTATTTTGGCAACTAGCTGAAATAAAAAAAATTTTTTTTTTTTGTATTTTATTTTTTCCATTATTTTGCATTTTTAATAATTCATACCTTCAGCTTAATTAATTATTAAAACAAAAATGAAAACATACCTTTGTGTTGTTTATGAGACCATGTGGATTTTTTTTTCCATGGCACATAAAATAAGACGAGTTTTGCAGAAAGTCTGAGCTGGTGTTTTTCATAAATTCAAGGTGTACAGTGGGCTACTGAACTCTGAAACAGACAAAAATAGCATAATAAAGCAGCATTAACGTCTATTCTTCTGTCTTACAATACAATACATTTCATATGCTTGTGCTTGCATATATTCAAGCTTCTTGCGACTGTTGACAAGATACAAGAGAACCAAAAGTGCCTGCTGTGTGCCATCATAAATGACATTTTCACTTTGACCTCCTGGTGTTGGTTTGGTCTCTCGTTGAGCAGCGGCGGTGGGCCGACATGCCCCGCTACGAGACTCCTCCAGCCTCTGAGCTCCAGAGACTCCTGTGGGTCAAAGCTGGAACCAGCGGCCATCTGGACGAGGTCAGGCCTGGAATATACATCGGAGACATGTAAGATGCTTTTCTTTTTCTGAACACATTTTCTACACTGTAGAACACTGTTACAAGAAAATACTATTTCAGTCTTTCTACTTCAAATTTTCATATTTAAATTCTTTGCAATATTTGTGAAATTTACTAGCAATTTCTGAGTAAAAACGGTTTCTACATCCATTTTCTTTTTCAGTGTACTACTATGAAAATTATTAATATTCGTTCCTTAGTTTAAGAAGATACCACACTCTAAAAAATGCTGGGTTAAATATAACCCAGCGCTGGGTTAAAAAGGGACAAACCCAGCTATTGGGTTGTTTTGACCCAGCGGTTGGGTTCAGAACAACCCAATAGCTGGGTCTAAACAACCCAATAGCTTGGTCAAAACAACCCAATAGCTGGGTCAAAACAACCCAACCGCTGGGTCAAAACAACCCAAC